AAAAAAAAAAAAAAAAAAAAAAAAAAGAAAGCCACAGCCAAAAAAAAGCAGTGTGGCACACACTCTAGGAGCATGCACTGGCAGGCACCAAGGCTGGATCCTCCAGGGAGAAGCTTTGGCTGCCAGCCAGCACTTCTCTCCTCTTCTAGTTGACCCCCAGCTCCTCCAGCATGCCAGGACCTGGGAGGAGTGGGGAAACAGCTGTTTCCCCAAAGTGGGGCATTTTGCCCCGTGTCAAACCCCACATTCAGGGGCATGTGCAGCAGCAAAAAGCGGCACCATAAATTTTTGTTGGTCCTATTTTTTGTGTCTCTGCACATGTGCGCTCATCTGGACATGCCCTATAGGTGTTAACATCAGAGATGATTGAAAAATGGAACATTTTTCACAAATTGCAAAGATTCATCTTAAGCAGAGAAGCTGGCTTTATTTCATGTTAATTAGTTGTGACTGCCCTTTGATCCATGCAGACAGGTACTGTAACCCTGACTTGGGCAAATTTTAGGTCTCCTACAATTACAGTTGTGGGAACTGTGGTGAAGTTTGCTATTCAGTGTTCCAAAGCATGGCTTTTCAGAGGGGGGCCCACAGGCTGCATGTAGCCTACGAGGGGTTAATTTGCAGTCTTTGGGCTCTTACCCAGCTGCCATTCCCCGCTTCGCTCCAGCTGCAAGAGCAGGTAGACTCTCCAGGCTCCTCTCTCCCTCCTTACACTGTGCTTCTTGCCTCTACCCGAGGGGACGGAGCAGTGTAGTAGGGTAAGGAGCTGAGGGAGAGTCTGGGGCTACACCTGGGTGAGAGATTGGGGCTGAATGCAGGAGGGGATCATACCTGCTTGGGGTCAGGGGCAGAACACCGAGCAGGTTGCAGGGTTGGGTCAGGTTGGGCAGGGATCACATTTGCTTCAGCTCATATGTAGTGCAGTAGTGGGGCAGGAGCATCTGTACAGCATGCTTGGTGTGGCCTATGCAGCGTGCAGCTTTGGGGGCATGTGGCCCTCAGGGTCTTAAAAGTTGGACTGCCTATTCTAAGGTATATTTTTTTCTATGATCAGAATACAAGTCAATTGATGACTGTGAGGAGCTGGTCATCAGTGCAACAGCAACACTTAATAGCTTATCGTACTACCAAGTGAGGAATTCTGCAGTTCAAGACAAGAAACTACACATTGCTGAGCGTAAGGATATTTTAATCAATTCCTTTTTCGTTGTGTTTTAGAATATTGAGATAAGTTATTTGTTCTGATTATATTAGGGCCTTCAAGAAGACAGAATAATTAATAATAATTAGCAGTATACTCTAGGACACACATTTTCCAGGGCCAAAATCTGGGCTGCAGACCATCCCAGCATGCATCCAAGGCCAAAACATAATACTTAAACCAGTGTGGAAATATTTAAGTAAAAAAAAAAAAAAAAAAAA